TCTCCAAAACCATGTTTTTGGGCGTCGAAACAACTTTTCGCCATACATTTCCTTCTAGCGACTTGCAATGTTTGCCCCCTGACGATCCCAGAGTTCTCTGCGCAAACACGGGTATTGGATTACTGGCAACTCATTCATTGTCATCTCCCAGGGTCTCTCCTAGCTCGCTCCAGGGGGCGGTAAGATGAGAGACCCTGGGAACGAGGCTGGGGAACCTCTTGTAAGCGACCATCTCTCGTAAGCGACTGCGACCACTTTTAGAGCTAAAAGTTTGAAATTTTCTTTTGTTTGTAACCTCCCGTAAGCGACCACTTGACAGATAATAGAGAGGAAATTAGGTAATAAGGTGTTGTAACTTCGTCGTATTCCTAAGAAGAGAGATACAAGAGATGGAAATTTCTCAATGGAAGAACCGGATTTTTTTCTTCGAAATTGACTTTTCACATGAATAAAACATTGGCGCATGGGGTAAGTCTCCGCAGTTTCCGCATTCTAGTGAGGAAAAATTTAGATTCAGTATGGTCTAAACTCTCCTAAGCGACCACCTCTCGTAAGGGACCACCTAGGCTTGACATTTTGGATGGGAGGTAGGGAGGCTTACGGGAGGTTCGACTGTGTATGCAGTTTACAAATGGTATACCAATCGATTAACTACTTTTCCATTGGAATCGATTTGTACCAATGGCACTAATGGCACCAATCGACAAATCTCTTACGCACACCTCTCAAGTGTTAATGAGATGCAGTTTACAAATGCTCAAACTAGCTTAATGGCTTAGATACTACCACATGTGTAGTATTTGGGGCGCTTTTTAAGCTTAGCCTCCATCGTAGTCTTCAGCACTGCACTGACGAGGCCCAAAAGGCCGAAACAGTACTGTCTGCAGTATCTAAGCGAATAGCATGTAGCATGCGAAACGTCAAGAAAATTTTAGATTGTTGTTCCAAACCATGCGTAGTTCATGTGTTATGTTTGTTGCCGCTGTCTGCATTTTATTTCTTGTTAAATATCTAACCGATTTTTTAAAAACATGCCCGCTATTTTGGTGCAAAGTCTTTAACACGGTTTTCATAAATTCAGACATATATTGGCACAGAATGTCCTAAACTGCTCAGGGAATTCCCTAGTTTGACTCTAAAAGCTCTAGAAAGATCGACAGAAATTAGACACGCTCGTTTCTCGACCTTTCTGGGTCATGCAGAAATATATGTCTGGATTTATGAAAACGGTGTTAAAGACTGAATCAAGTGTTTTTTGATTTTTTTTTTTT